GAACAGGTGTGACTGGACAACAGGTGTGACTGGAGAACAGGTGTGACAGAAGAACAGGTGTGACTGGGTGTTGCAGGCTAACTGAGGGAGCTGAAACCAACTAATGAGAAGTGGTTGTTGGCACAAAAGGAAACACAAAAACGGACCAAATTTAATCACAATTAACATAACTAAACACATGAATCACAAAGCATAAATAAACCCAATGGTAAATGCAAAACACTTCTAAAAAACTAATAAAAAACACAGATCCTGACAGTAAACTTAGTAAAAATACTGTTTTCTTCCCAGTACATGTTTACATTTAATAGATTACACATATTTTTAAAGCTATATTTAAATACATCAATAAAAATGTCTTTCACAAACAGGAAACCATTCCCTGCATTGTAAAGGGAAGATGTTTTAGCTCCAGATGACCTGACTGAAAATTGGATTGTATACCTGGATTATTGAGCATGGACTTTTTTGGTTTATGTTTTAGCTTGTTTTTTTGTTGTTGTTTTTTTTAAGGTGGCTCAAGCAGATTTAGTACAAGACAAAATATGAATAAGTCCTCTCCTTCTTCAGTACCAGGGTCACTGCTGCTTATAGTTTCTTCTTAGAGTCTCAAATTATTCTCATTTGCATATTGGGTGCTTAGTTGTTTACTGACACGCTCAATCCTGACCACAGAAGTGTCCTTGTGAGGTTGTGAGCCTGATTAAAGAGCCTGAACAGAGGGTATGGAAAATAAAGATAAGAATGAATGATGAGAAAGAAACACAGAGACTCAAAACTGTTTTAAACCCACACTTTAAATATTTTTATTATTTCAGCTATAAAGTGTGGCATTTGGGCATGCTGTAAAGTTTGCCATTTAAGTTGTCCAGGAGTTGATTCACTTTTGTCACCTGACTCTAGAGGCCATTCATTCAGCCTTTATTTAGACTGGTTAATCGCATTGAGCCTTGGGAACTCATTTACAAGAGAGACCTGAATTCTTAACAAAGAGTGATGACAACATTTCATTCATTCAACCTTTATTTAAAGAGATAAATCACATTGAGCATCAAAGGCTCATTTACAAGTGAGACCTGTTTGGACAGACAAAAACAGTGGTTAACTGGACACATGTAGGAGTTGGAGGCGAAAAAAATTCCTATCAGACTTTTTTGTTTTCCCTGCCTGAGAAAAAAAAAACTCTAATATAAAAAAAAAACCACCTCGCACAAACAAGCACGTAGTGACGTAGACATTCTGCAGATGGGGGAGATGAGAGCGGTCAGCAATGTTCATAGATGCTCTCAAGGGCACTGTAAGAGTTCTGATAAAGATGTACTAATCAGCCAATGTCCTCCGGTGAGATCCATAAACATTCTCGAGGTATGTCGAGGAATGGCCAAGAATAATGTCTATGAGAATCCAAGCGTCCTAAAATGATGACACGTTTATTCAAATGGTTTCATCTGGTTATCAGTTGGAAATTCCTCATGGAAGGGAGGGCATGGTGAGCGTCAGATCACATGTTCTCCAGGCAAATTCAGATAAGATGACCTTCAAGGCCAGCCAAGGGAGCCAAATTCAGATAAACACAGTTGTTTTGGGGACAGACAGAACTTTAATGACATCTACCTTGAGTCTGTGTTGGTCCACTTGGTTCCAAAATGTCCAAAATACATGGCCACACCATTGGAACGTGACTGAGTAAAATCCCCCAGATCTGATCCATTCTGCCCAAAGCATTTGAGTCTGGGTACGCGAGACACGAACCAAGCCATCATAAAGGCAAGCAGCGTGATCGGGTCCAAATTTGCTGCCGACGACTTCCTTGATTGATTGATAAAACCAGCAACCAGACGAATCCAAAAAGCAGGAACCAGTTGTCAAAAATCCAATTAAATATGCATCCTTAAAATCCACAAATGGCAGCAGAGATAGACACATCATCAAGTCTTCCAGTCGATGAGATATCCAGCTGCGTGCGTGCCAACAGGGCAAATCGGCTCACCTAAAGCCTGTCTTTTCTTTTAAGAAATGTTGCAAATTGAGTTGAGGGACCAACTGATCAAAACAAGTCCATAATTATGGTTCGGAAGAAATGCAAGAGAGTCTCACAAGCAGTTTCACTGACAGACAGAGCAGCAAAGCAAAGCAGAGAGGGAGAGGAGAAGCATCCGATCTCAGCCAGAGCAAGTGGTGAAGTTGAAAGTGAATAGTGAATAACAACAATAACAATAAACAATCATAAAATGGGCATAGAAATTTAGGTTTCTCTTTTTTCTTTTTTTTTTTTACAAATCAAAACAAAATAGCAACCAAAAGGACAATCAAGAGGAATAGTAGCAAAAACAGCTAGATTATAAGGCGATTTAGAAAACGTAAAACAGAAACAAGTCTGCATTGGTTTTTGCCAGGAGCTTAACAGAGTTTTAAAGTGACTTTGAGAGGTCAAAGTCGAGAGCTTCAGGTCTTTTTTCAAGATATTCCAGGAAACAGGAGCAGAGTAGGAGAAGGCCCTTTTGCCTAGTTCAGTCCTCACTGAGGGAATACTGCAAGTAATAATGTCCTGAGAGCGCACGCTGTAGCTGCACTCACACAGAGACAT